CCCTAAACCCTAAACCCAAACTCCAAAGCCCAGTTTGTTCCTAAACCCGCAGCCCTAAGCCCTAAGCCCTAAGCCCTAAGCCCTAAACCCTAAACCCTAAACCCTAAACCCTAAACCCTAAAGCCATGGAGGAACACGCAGCTCGCTCTGGCAACCTGGGGCCTCCTCGGCGTGCTGGCGATCACTGCGGCACTTGTCGGTGGGCATGGGCTTCTAGGGGTTTATGGTTTTTGGTTTAGGGTTTCTAGGGGCTTCTAGGGTTTCTAGGGCTTCTAGGGGTTTATGAGTTTAGGGTTTAGGGCTTCTAGGGGTTTATGGGTTTTTGGTTTAGGGTTTAGGGTTTCTAGGGGTTTATGAGTTTAGGGTTTAGGGTTTAGGGTTTAGGGTTTATCGTTTTTGGTTTAGGGTTTAGGGTTTCTAGGGGTTTATGGTTTTTGGTTTAGGGTTTTTGGTTTAGGGTTTAGGGCTTCTAGGGGTTTATGAGTTTTTGGTTTAGGGTTTAGGGCTTCTAGGGGTTTAGGGTTTAGGGTTCAACAGGGAGGGGTTGAACAACTAGAACATAGCGTTTGGGCATGCTCTTATTACTTTTAGTCCCGCACGAAGAGGCCGCCGAAACCCATTAGGCAGCGGTTTAACAAATGGTCTGAACAGTCAGGCTGGGGTTCTATACAGGGCCATATGTTTTTCTGGTATAAGAGACCCCCAAAACCCTGTTTCAACTGTTAAAGCCTCTGTGCTAAGGTCATATGCGAAACGGAGAGCTGCGAATCCACATGGCAACCTTCAATCTGGTATGATTTGTTCCTGAAATTTGTGGTTTAGGCATAGTATAAATGAGTAATTAGGGCTTGGGGTTGAGGGCTTTGGGTTTGACTCCATTTTGGCGGGCTATCTCGAAGACAGGGTCCGCTATTGTGGGTTCTGTGTCAGGGTCCAAATCCTCACCCTTCGCTGAAACCGTAAGAGCTGGCCCTGTTCCTGCGTCACACCCAATCCGAATCCCACGGCCCCATGCGACTGTATGAGCACAATGGAAGACGACCCCTAAACCCCTGCACCCTGCATCCTAAAGTTCAAAAGCCAAAACCGTCAAGAGAGCTTCAGAACACGAGTTGGCAGGCTGGTCCCAGCAGCGCGAGTTCCCAATGGCTGTGTACTTCTGGTATCTCTTCGCGCTCTTTCTGCAATTAAAACAAACAGAGGGCTTGGCAAACATAGGGTTTATGAACCCCAAACTCCGTCAACCCTAAACCCTGAACCCCTATAAACCCTAAACCCCTAAACCTTAAACCCTAAACCTTAAACCCTAAACCCTAAACCGGTTTTAGGCTTCTGGGTGTACTACTTCGAAGAATCAGCCCCGGAGCCATGGACCCTTTAAAGGCAACCCTAAAGCCCCAAAGTCAAAGATGCCCTGCCCTTAGGGTTTAGGGTTTAGGGTTTAGGGTTTAGGAAAGATGCCCTGCCCTTACGTCTAAGCGGCCTTGCATCATCCCCCAAAAGCCTCAAAGCTTAAACCGTCCTTAAACCTTACCTGCAGCCGAAAAGACCTCCCTATTTAGAATTCCCGATTATGGTTTCTATATATATATATATATATAGAGAGAGAGAGAGAGTCCCATAAAAATGTAGGTCTTTTCGTTTACAGGTAAACCCTAAACCCAAACTACAGGTGACAACCATCCTGGTCATAGCACTGGTGTGCTGGGTGGCCTCGACCGATTGGGAGTGCTCTTTAGTCCAGGAGGACGGGATGTGGTTTAGGGCTTAGGGTTTAGGGTTCAGGGTTTAGGGTTTAGGGTTTTTAGGGTTTAGGGTTTAGGGTTTTGCCTCGGGGATATGTTACAAGGGGTCCATGAGGGTTTCTATGAGCTTTGTCTTTTGCGGGTTCTGAGTTCTACAAAGTTTTTATAGGGTTCAAAAAGAGGTGTTGGTTTTCTAGCTTTAAGTTGAGTCTGCTTTGGTGTTCGTCGCCGGCGCTATGTCGGGTTTGTGTTAGACTTTCTAGGCTAACGAGAACGTAGAGGTCGGAATACATAGGGACCTTAGTAATTAGAATAGGGTTTTGGGGCCCATTGTACTAAAATTATAAGAAGGAGCCCCCAAAATATTATAGGTGATTTTTAAGGCCCCGATATTAGTCGAATTGCCCCCTTTCTTATGACGAACCTTACTCCATATATGGGTAGTTCTCTAAATTAGGGTCTCTTTTTGGGTACCAAATATAGTACGGCACCCTTGCAAAAAGGCCCCTACAAGGTGCCCGAATTTAGAGAACTACCCATATCAAAGCAGCAGACAAGACTTGGTGTCGTGTTGGATGCCCGTTATGCTTCTCTTGCTCATCCGAAATTCTAGAACCCAAACTTCGCGGGTCGTTTGCGGCTGTAGGTTTAGGCTCGGGGAAGGTTTGCACCGGGCACTGCGCAGTGTGTGACTGGGGATGCTGTTTTGCATGGTACACTCTGGAGCCCGGAGGAGGTCTAAGAGTATGCATGACTTTTCGGGTTTAGGGTTTTTGGGTTTAGAGAGGTCTACACTGTCTTTGCGCCGTGACGCTATTTAAGTGTGTTGTTGAGGCCGTAAGGCCCTGAGCTTCCGTCCATGCAGTTTGCAGTGGGGATGGGATCTTGCCCACGTCACATGGGGGTTTCCAAAACTAGGGGACCCAAATTAATGTATAGCACCCTCAATAGTAGGATCCTTATTATAAGGACCTCCAAATAAGATACCCCTAAGTTTCGGAAGCTCCAACATGTTTAAGATCTGCCGATTCCCACTTTGAGTTCTCGAATCGCCTCTCCGACGATACCGTAAAGTTCTAGAAGCGACACGGTAGAACATCAGAAGCACAGTCTTAGGGTTTAGGGTTTAGGTTTTAGGGTTTTGGGTTTAGGGTTCAGGTTTTAGGGCTTTGGGTTTAGGCAGTAGTCGATGTCAAGGGACGGGGCTACAAGGCCAATGATGGGGTTAAGAACCCCTGGCTCCTAAATCCGACCAAAATCCCAGAGGTCGGGATGTGGGGTAGGCCTTTGAGTCAAACAGAAGTAGCCTATAATCCCTTCGGGCTCCTTAAACAGAAGTTTGTGAAGGGTGAAGTTGGATTTTGGTAGAGGCTGGCCCAGTGGCCAAGAACTATGAAGCCTAACATAAGTCTAAACCCTAAACCCGAAACCCGAAACCCAAATCTTGGCTCTGATTCTCAAGGCCCCTTTTGTTCGGGGTTGCCGGCTGGGATTCAGGTCTGAGAAGCTTGAGGAGTTCCGAGATCATGTTATCGGGGCCTTTATACATAGAATAGAACCTTCATAATTAGAATAGGGTTTGGGGGGTGCAGTATACTATACTTATAAAAAGATCATGTTGCGTTTAGGGTTTATATGCCTCAAGTTTAGGGTTTACTCCAGGACCTGCAGTCACAGCGCATCGGCTTCTCCTTCCTTTGCACTGCCCCTCTGCTGCAGTCATGCGCGACGATGTGGGGGTTTCCGAAAATAGGGGACCCTAATATAGTACCCTAAACAACAGGATCCTTATTATAAGGACCCCAAAATACGGTATCCCTTATATTCGGAAACTCCCATGTACGCTGCTTAGAGTGGGTCGTTTACCCGCAGTGCAGGTCTTTGACAACCATGCGCAGAATTTCCCTGGTTATCTCATGTAGGGGCCTTAATATTTAGAAAAGGGTTTTGGGGCCCATTACACAAAAAAAATATACTACGGAACCCCCAAAATACTATAGGAAATTATTAGGGGCCCTCCATTACCTCCCGAAAGCATGTTCGAAGTCCGGGCAGCAGTTGACCCTGTCGCCGCACTCCTGCCCCAGCACCACCAAAAGTTCTGTTTCGGCGGGCTCCGTTTATACCCCCAAACCCTACTCTAAGTATTAAGGCCCTTACACTACACCGAGACGTACACCCTGAGTGACAACAGTCTGATCTATCTCTGGGCCTGAACCCAGAGGTCCCAACACCTCACACCAACGAAATATACTTTTCATCGTAACACCAAGCCCTACATGGGTCAAGGCTTATGGTACATTCCCCTCGCAGAGGTTCGCTCCCCTTGTAACACCCCATACAGATTCATAGAAATCCCTTTCTTCGTTATAACTTCGTATCAGACCCCAACTCCCTCAAAGACCCAAACAAATCCAGGTTCTCAGTGCCGCGGTGCTCTTGGTGGGCCTCGCCATTGTGGCTGTGGCGCTTTGGCTGATACTTTGGGAATGAAGCTTGCGGCTTCGGTTCCGGTTTTAGGTTCAGGTGTTATGGGCTCAGGCTTTAGGGTTTAAGGTACTGTTATTAGCAGAGTTCAGGTTCGCGATTTTGGGTCTGCAATGTCGCGTGCAGGAATGAGGGCTTCGGGCACAGACTCTCCAGGACACATAGAGGCACCCTCCGACATGAGTTTGCTCTTCTAGCATGCTTGAGCCGTTTCGTCGTAAACTGAGTTCCTTGTTCTTGCATATTGGTGTGGATGAGGTCTTCAGCCGAATGTGGGTGTCGTGCGACAGCAGCCTCGCTGGCTCGCCCTCTTCGTTTCTGAGTTTTTCGATCGCCATGCCATGAGAACATCTGCGCTGAGCTCATGCGAAATCCCCACATGCACGCACATTCTCGGATGCGTGCACATGTCATGAGCAAACTACTACCAGAATCCACAATCAGGAGAAAGCACCTTGCACCACATCCAGCATTTACGCTTAATCCTCAGACCCGTTTTCCTGCATGAGGTCCTCTTCGCTTTGTACACCATCTACCAGGCGATTGCACGGGTGAGAGCTAGTTCAAGAAGCTTTTTACCCCATCTCTAAACCGTGTGCAGAGGCTTTAGTTTGAAGAAGGTTGAGTTTGGATGTTGATAAAGAAATTCGTGTACATAGACGTACCGTATTCCGTGTCGAAACTAAACAGAAAGGGACTTGACAGCACAGGGTGTTGAGGCCGCTTCATTATGTGATCAGGTTTGGTGTGGGGGCAATATGGGACTCAAGCGCGGCATGGAAGTTTGTTGTTAAAGCAGCGTTGTTTCTTTCCGTAAGGCTTCAAGGAGGAGAACCCTCGTAGCTGGAGGCTTCAAAGACCGTGCCACATAACTGCCCATCGGACCAATAAACCAGATGTGTTGTAAGGACTTAGTTGAATTGGTCTCTTCAACAGCCTGTTTGTAGGCTCGGCTGCAATAGCCCGCGATACCAAGTCCACTGTTCATCCTGGAGGTATGTGGGTCTGACCGATCGTGCAGAGTTGAGTACGGGTTGACATTTTTAGTAATGAGCGTAGGGTCATTGGCATCTGGCACACGGGAAAAGTCTGGAAACGTCGGACTGAAAGGTATTTCGGTTTTGCGGAGCCTCTGCCAGAGTAGGGCATTGAGCGAGTTGCTCCACTTCGCGAACAGATACAGAGCTAATGCTCGTTGTTGCAATGCTTAGGCATGTCTAGACACTTGAAGCATTAAATCCCCAACAACCCAAAACTTTGAGCCGTTGCTGTTGTTCTTCACCCGTGAGGTTTCAGAGGGCTTGCGTCAGTCCTGGGTGCGGGAGATTCCGGGCGCTGTGCAATGCCCTGACCTATGTACGCTTTCGGGTTCAGTAATTTAGGGGCCTAAATAATTGCCTATACTGTTTTGGGGCTCCTTATCATCATTGTAGCATAAAAGAGCCCACTTCCCTGTTCTAATTATGAAGGCCCCTACATTATGTCTTGAGTTCTGATGCTGCGACACTTTTTCCTGCATTTTATGCTTGGTGGTGGTAGTGGTGTCCGCTGCTGCTGCTGCTGCTGCTGCTGCTGCTGCTGCTGCTGCTGCTGCTGCTGCTGCTGCTGCTGCTGCTGCTGCTGCAACTGCTTTTGCTCAGGTTCGCTTGGTGATTTTTCTACGGTTATCGTGGCTAGTGTTGTTAGTGTCATGGGTTCTCATTTATGGTTTTGCAACGGTCACTGCTATGCTCCTGATCCATTTTTTGAGAACTGCAGGTTCAAGCCACTATCCACGAGAGCGTGCTGGAGTCGCTGAGTGAAACATCTCGACTTCTCCTGCGGGAGAAGCAGAACGAAATCTCCAAAGCGTATTGGAGTTAATGCTCACGCAGCCGGCCTGTTTTCGGAGCTACCTGACAGATTTCGATAGTGTTTGGCTTCTTACAGTTCCAAGAACTCAAGGCTCCTAGACAGTACCACCGGAACTTCAAAAGACGACCTTTAGTTTCTCAAGCCCCAAGAACCCTAAACCACATTCAGCCAGCATCCATAGCTGGGCCTTTGGCCCCACAGACCAGAAGCAAGAATCTGTGTCACCCTGCTCTGCCATCGCCACTTCATTCCGGCCGGAGAGAGGAGAAAGCAAGGATGCCTTTAGCTTCCAGGTCGTATTGAGGATGGGGGACACCCTTCGATCTGAATCCTAAACCCTAAGCCCTACCTTATGGCTCTCTGAAAAGGGACCTTATTGAGAGGGCCTATATCCCAAGGGTCCCCCCACTAATCCAAAGAACCCAGGGCTTCCAAGATCCCTGTCACTCTAGGGGCCTGAATGGTTAGAATATTTTTTGTGTGGTGGTTCCTCATTATAATTCTAGTGTTTTCAACCCAAAACACTAGTCTAATTATTGAGGCCCTACATTATTATACCAGGACTATACCTCAAGTCATAAACGAATGATCAATATGATTTAGGGCCTATATCCCTTCATCATACAAGGACTACACCTCAAGTCCTGAAATCAGAATAGAATCCTTAAGGTATATAGTCCCTAATTCTGTGATATTGAAAGGGCCGGGAAGTAATCCTCAACCCTGGAATCCTAGCCCACGTAGCAGGAGACAGAGTGTTTAGGGTTTGAGGGTTCAGGGTTTAGGGTGAACCCTAGGAATCCTGACAAACTTGTGAGCCATACCCTAAGCCCTAAAACCTAGCGTCACTAGCAGACCCTGGAACTAAGGATAGTTCCTACAAGCCCGACCGGCCCAAGAAGTCATCCAAACCCCTACCCGCCCTGCAAGTTCTACTTCACCTCGGTGTTCCTCCTTGCCCGCCCAAATCATCAGTGGACCTTGCGGACCGGATCTAAGCGTGGGCTTCGGAGCTAGCTGCTTTTTGTTCAAGGTCTGAACCCTATACTCTTTGGCACCATCCCTAAACCCTGACGGTTTAGGGTTTAGGGTTTAGGGCCTGAACCCTCAACTCTATCCTTTAGTTTTTTTTGCTGTTGGGCTTCAAGACAAGCAGACAGCAGACGCCTTCAGCCTGACCGGAGGGTTCCAAATGCCTAGGTATGTACAGTATACACAGTTAATTATGTGTTTATGCTATGTGTATATATATATATATTTAGAATTGTTATATATATAATTATATATATATATATATGGATATATAGATAGTTATCTATATATTTGTCTAATATGCCCCTAGATACAAGATCCTCTCTAACCCACAACTACTATACATCTGTCACCCTCAACCCAAGTATGCGTGACTTGCACTGGGATCCTTGCACTACCCAGGCTTCGTCCTAAACGACTCCAGGTCGCTCCGACTGCTGCGGATCCCTGTGCCTTCTGAGAAGCCCTGCAGTGAAGAATCTGATCTTTCAACCCGGGTCCGCACTAACATGTACTAACAAGTTTTCCTGCGTAAGTATTTTACAAGATGGTATTTGCTTATATTGTATGTCGCAAACCCCGTGCTAATCATGAAGGCGTCTTTCTGAATGTGGAGTTTGGGAGACACGGTCTAGGGTCTGAATTCAAGGACTTCCGCCGAGAGCAGCCGTGGACTACCAAAAAGTGGGGCAGATGTTTACAGCTCCGGCACATCGTGAAAGTCGGTTTTGGAAACTTCGGATAGGAAGCCGTCGTCACGAATGCCTAGCTGAGCTTGAAGCTCGATCAGGCCTTCAGCACTTGGTAGTCCTGCCCAGAGTCACGGCTACGAGATTCCTTGGTTCCTGCGGTTGTGAGGATTCGAACTTGTTTGCTTAGCCTGGAAGCCCATGTGCCTGAGTACTGAATTGCCCCAACAGCGATTACACACCTTCTGTTGCAAGAGGCCGTGGCTCATATAGCATCAAATGCAAGGCCCACATTATTTAGACAAGTGAAGCATGCACAGGCTCGACTTCAACCCGCTCCGCCATCGACACCTAAACGCCGTTGTTGGTTGATCCCAAACTCTGAGAAGCAATTCCCCAAGGCAGAAACCCATGAACACCCCCACCGTTATGGAGTTGTAGACGGCCACCATGGTCCTTGAGGGAGGAAGCAGCACCATGGCACATGCCAGTGTCGGCAAGGAGGCTTGCACCAATCTTTCTCAGCTTGCTTGCGAATGTTTTGCCCCTTACAGTAACCCTAAACGCTAAACCCCAAACATTCGTTATTACGGTTCTAGTCAACGGGCCCTTAAGAGTTTGAGGGATGGTGGAGTCCCAGGGCACTTGCTCCTCATGGTTCGCGTCTGGTTTCAGCATCCAGGGTGCATTGTCGGAACCTGTGATATCAGGCGGCCACGACGGTGACATCCAGAGACCCTCATGCAAGGGTTTCGGGTTTCTAAGGAGCCCTACACTATGAGAAGCTGAGGCACCACCCTGAATCCAAGGAGTTTGAAGTCGCTGGGAAGTGCCGATATGCAGTGATATAAGGCACTTCACGACGCTTGGGATCTCTGGGCACAGCAGAACAGGAGATCCTGGAAACACGGATATTGGTAGAGTATACGTAACATAGTAGAGAAACCCCACAACAAAGGTAGAAACGGCTGCTAGGGAGAGGTGTACAGAAGCGTGTTGATCCTGGCAAGGATCGATCCAGCACTGGTGAAGACAGCCGAATAGGCATTGCTCATAGGCGAAGACCCACGGGTGTGAAGATGGTCTCGAAGCAGAAAGATCATGACATGTTGGTTCAACCCTGCAATATACAGGCATGGGCCTAACAAAATACCTATACTATTTTGGGGAGTTCCTTATTCGAATAGTATAAATAATATACCCCAAAGCCCTATTCTAGTTATGAAGGCCCCTATATTAAATATACACCACAAGCCTACTGCTGGATTTGCAGACAGGATCATCAGCCCTGTCGGGATGCCCTACATTCCTTTACGCCGCTGCAGTGCTCTGACAGGAGATGAGCCTTAGGAGTCTTCCGACAGGGCTTGAGGGTTCGAGTTCAGGGTTTGGGGTTTAGGG